TTAGTATTATTCTTCTTAGTTTTATTCTTATTATTAGTCTTATTATGCTTAGTCTTATTGTTCGTCTTCTTATTCTTCTTATTATTATGCTTCGTCTTATTCTTCGTATTCGTATTCTTTTTTTTCTTCTTCTTTTTCGTATTCGTTTTCTTCTTCGTATTAGTATTCTTATTCGTCTTCTTCTTATTCGTATTCTTCTTCTTATTCGTATTATTAATATTCTTATTATGCTTAGTATTATGTTTCTTCTTGTTATTATTATTATTCTTCTTATTATTATTAATATTCGTCTTCTTCGTATTATTATTATTAGTCTTATTCGTATCATTCTTCTTAGTCTTATTATTAGTCGTATTCTTATTATTCTTCTTATTATTATTATTCTCATTATTAATATTATTCTTATTAGTCTTATTATTATTCGTATTATTATTAGTCGTCTTCTTATGCTTATTCGTTTTCTTCTTCTTCGTCTTAGTAGTACTCGTCTTCTTCGTCGTATTATTACTATTATTCTTCTTATTATTATTATTAGTAGTATTAGTATTAGTATTCGTCTTATTCTTCTTATTAATATGCTTATTCTTCTTATTAGTAGTATTATTATAATTGGTATTATTATTCTTATTCTTATTATTTTTCTTATTATTCGTATTATTATTATGATTAGTATTATTATTCGTCTTCGTATTCGTAATATGAGTATTCGTAATCTTCTTCTTCTTAGTATCATTATCATTCTTAGTATTATTATCATTATTCTTCTTCTTATTCTTATTAGTATTCCTCTTCTTGTTCTTATTCTTATTATTATTATTCTTCTTAGTAGTATTCTTCTTCGTATTATTATTGGTATGATTATTCTTAGTATTAGTATTAGTATTCTTATTCTTTTTATTCTTCTTATTATTATTATTATTCTTCTTCTTATTCGTATTTTTCTTATTATTCTTCTTATTATTATCATTCTTCTTAGTATTCTTCTTATTCTTCTTATTATTATTATTATGATTATTCTTATTCTTCTTGTTATTATTATTCTTATTATTATTCTTCTTCTTCTTTTTCTTCTTCCTCCTCCTCCTCCTCCTCCTCCTCCTCCGCCTCCTCCTCCTCCTCCTCCTCCTCCTCCTCCTCCTCCTCCTCCTCCTCCTCCTCCTCCTCCTCCTCCTCCTCCTCCTCCTCCTCCTCCCTCCTCCTCCTCCTCCTCCCCCTCCTCCTCCTCCTCCTCCTCCTCCTCCTCCTCCTCCTCCCTCCCTCCTTCTCTTCCCTCCTCCTCCTCCTCCTCCTCCTCCTCCTCCTCCTCCTCCTCCTCCTCCTCCTCCTAGTTGTCGTCGTCGTGGGCCGCGGGCCGGACGAAGCCAGAAGGAACAAAAAGGGAGGAGGAGAAGGAGGACTGGGTCAAAAAAGGCCGAAGATGGAACAAAACGAGGAGCGGTGCAAGACGAGGGACGAAATAAAAAAGCGGAGCAAAACGAGGAGACGAGCGGTCAGAAGGGATGGGAAGAAGAATGAGGTCGACCCGCCCCCGCCGTCGTCCCCGCAAGACCGCGGCAGACGTCGGCCGCACCGATCCACCAGTCGCGCACCCTTGCCTCTAATTCCGTCCGGGCGCAAACGCTCAGATACCGTCCCAGTCTTGACCATAGACCACGCCGACACGAGATTGGAGGTCGTCACTTATGCGACCCCTCGAGCCCGTGTTGCTATGATTCGCGCTGACGCCGGTGACCAGCCCCACCGCCGCCCTGTGCCCCCCCTGGTAGACGGAATTAGCCTTTCCTGTAAATTCCCCAGACGTGACTGGCCCCCACATCCCACCCCCCTGCCCCACCTGGTCACGCCTGCGGTTGCCAGGTGATCCGCCACCGCGCCCTGTGCACGCTGAGGCGGGGAAAAAAAGTCTGTCTGGTCGGGTTTCTGTAATTCCACCAGCCCTCTGGGCGTAGGTGGTATGAAGAGCGTTTGTTTCTCTCTGCTCAAATCACTCCTTCCACCCCCCCCCCATTACACCCAATTACCCGCTCCCCACCCAGCAGCTCGGGCCCGTCCAACCCTTCCCAGCAGGCAACCAGAAGGTCTCGCAGGGCGAAGGCTGGAGCGGCGCCAGCAGGCGGCGAGGCAACCGGCGGCGGTGGCGCCTCCGGGCCGCCAAACGTTGGGGCAGCAGCGGCCGAGCCCGCGGGGGCGGCAGCGGCGTCACCCGCGGCCCCCAGGACCGCCGCGGCTGGCGGGGCGCCCAGCACGAAGAGCTGGCTGAAAAGTCGATCGCAGCCGCCGCAGCAACGGAGCCATCCGCCGGCTCCCGCGCGGTCACACACACACACACACACCACACACACACGGAACATCTGTCCCCGGTCTCTGCTCAGGCAAGTTCCGCCTCCGTGAAACAGGCTAGGCATGTCGGTCCGAGATGGCTGGCCTCCCCCACCCAGGCGCTGGCGCAACCGCACCGACGCTTCAGTTGGGGGCGCGACGGTCGCCCGCGCGGCGCGCA